ATTTCTCAAAGGGGGAACCAAAAAACGGGGGGCGATTCCACCCCCAAAAAAGGAAATTTAATTAATCCGGGGGGGGGGGGGGGGGGGGGGGGCGAAAAAGACCACAACAGGAGTCAGAAGAAGCAGGCTACCCACACGGAAAGAGATTCATGGCTCTGGCCGCGGTAGTCGACACGCCTCCTCTGCTCGGGTATCAAATCCAAGACTGCAAAACGGAGAGAGGGAAAGAAAAACAAGAGAGAAGGAAAAGAAAATGCCCAAGAAAATGCCCGCCATCCGTGCTATGCTCCCTCTCCTTCCCATATCAATGTCATCCATCAACGTCTCTTCTGCTTTTCCTTCTCTCTTCACATCGTAATTGGACCTCGTGGCATGGCAAACACCAAATAGACACTTCTCTTCGTACACTGTTACAGCCACAGCAGCCACCTCACGCCGCCGACGACGCCCTTGCCGAACCCGACAAAGACGCGGAGGATCATGACGACGAACCAGACGTACCACATGATGCCCACGAGCCCCCACTCGACACCAAGCCACAGCGCCCGTCTCACCCAGCGGAACCGCCTGCGGCGCCGGCGCAGCATCTTGTCGATGACGTCGACGACGGCCTTGATCTTGAGCCGCTGACCGAAGGCGAGGTCGCGGCTTGTCTCGTCGGCCTCGTCCGCCGCGGCACGCGTCATAGCCGATAGGTCGACGGCAATATGTCTGCGAACGTCCTCAATGTTCGCCTGCAGCGTTGGCGTTGTCTCGCTTGTGAAGGCGTCGGCGGCGTGCTGCCATTCGAGGCCGGCGCACTGCATCGAGCTGCTGAGGGTGCGAGCGGCGAGCTGATAGAGCTCGACCTGAGCGACGGAGCGGGCGCGGAGCTGCGCAGGGTTCGTGCTGAACTGGGCGATGGCGGGCCAGAAGGGGGGCTTCTGCTTCGGGTCGACGTCCTCCGAGTGAGCGACTGGGGGGGCAGCGAAGGCGGGCCGGGGCTCGTACGCGCGGCGGGAGATCTCCATCGCCTTGATACCAGAGCTGAGCACTAGGGCGCGCAGACGGGCTACCTCGTGACGGCTCAGAGGTGCGCGCTGCGGGGAGGGGCTGCGGTCGGAGATCGACCAGTGACGACCGTCAAAAGTAGTAGCCAGTGAGCCGAGGCGATCCCTGTTGAAGGCTTGCGGCATCGAGATCACGGAGCTGAGACGGCGGCCTGCTTTATGTACATCCTCGTGGCTTGTACTTCCCCGCTGTGGTTGAGATTCCGAGTCTTCCAAGTCGCCACGCTGCCCTGTCGCCGGCGGTGATGTTGACGGTGATGCATGGTGGACGTCGATGCGAGGAGGTTTCAGCAAGTCAAACCGGGACGACCGACTAGGAGGCCTGGATGACTGAAGGCTGGGGGGCTCCAACTGGCTGGGGGCCAACCTGTCGTGTGAAGCATGCTGGAATGTAGGCATTACGTCCAAATAGTGCTTGCCCTTCTGGAGCTGCGCTTCTCGACGGTCTCGCATGGATAACGATGTCGTACGCGATAGAGACAGATTCGCCCTGCGCCTGCCCCTAGCCGGCTCAGCATCCGACTCGTCAGTCGCCGTGGCCTCGCCGTCAGACTGGTTACCGTCATCCTGTTCCGAGTCCTTCCGCCAGATAAAGTCACCTAATTTGGAGGCACCTTCGCGGATCAACGTATCCAGACGCGCCCCCTTGAACAGTCCCTTGGCGCCAGACTCGTCGCTTCTACGCTTGGGGCCTGCCCTGTACGTATCGGTCGGCTGTCGTGGCAACAGGTTTCTCGGAGGACTCCTCGATCCTCGCCTCTCGGGAGTCTCCGAAATCGGTTGGGGAGACTCGGTCATGATGCCCTTGAGGTCAATCGGAGGGCCAAGGTCGCCATCTCGCGTCTCGGAAGGATCGCTTGCACGTTCCTTGCTCCTCTCGCGGAAGATGCTCTTCACCTTGTGGAAAGGGTTGCGCGTGGGAGATCCAGCACGACTAGGCAGCGCTGAGAGGTCGGAACCAATTGTCGGGATGAATGGACTGTAGCCATGAGGGTGGTTGTCGGGCGAGTTTGGTAGCGAGGCATCCAGGTCAAAGGACGTCCTGCGCGCAGGCATTGGAATCTCCAAGCTAGACCTCCCAACTCGCTGACGAAGGGTGGCCGTTTGCGCCTGCGTCTTGCAAGGCGTATCGTCAGACTCGCTTCCTTCAGCAAGAGACTGCTTCCGACTCTGCTCGCGCGTGGCGGGCTGTGATGAGGAGGGAGGGCCGCGTTCGGGTGTCAGCAGTGCGGCAATGGCAGCATCGACCGATTGCGTGTCTGATCCGTTCTCTCTGGCCTCTCTAGCTATCATCTCGAGCATCTGCTTCTCAAGAATGTCCCTACTGTTGCCGGTAAATGTGCGCTGTGGCATCCTCCTCTCTTTGCCCTCCTCTTCGCTGTCGGAAAGATCCGAGTGGGGTGCCTTGGTTAATCTCCGTATGTCGCTATGGCTATGCGAGCCGTGTCGATGATGCAAGCCCTTGAGCTCATGAAGCTTTTGGCGGGCCCGCTCTCGGGCACTGCTGTGGGAGTGTTCGCTGTCCGTCTTGATTGGTCTTGGGTTTCCGGTCCTCTGGTTTAAAGGAATCTCGAGCGAGCCCCGTGTGTGAGTTGTCATGAGTGACTCTGGCCTAGACATATCTGTTTGGCCTGTCAGGGGTCTGAACAGGTTTGACGAAGGAGGGAAAATCCGTCGCCAGTGCCGGTCTTCGATCAACTGTAGGTGATTGTCCTGCTCGAGCCAGTATGCATCGGCGATCAGATCGGCCGGCTCAAAGAGCCAGTCCACTTTGGGTCTTTTGGGCTTGACAGCGTTGGCCGAGGGCGATGTTGCTTGGGCGTGCATGTCCGCATCGGCAAATGGCGGCAACGAAGGACCATCAGGCAAGATGGACTGTCCAGTCGCCGCCCACCTTGCGACGTTATCGACCCAGTCCGTGACCTTCTTGACGTCGCTAAAGCCTTGAGCTTCGCCATCAATGGCCTTGCGCTCACGGGCTCGAACTTTGCGGTTGCGGATGTACTGCAGTGGGTTGTACGGCCGCCCAAACCTTGCGCTCCCATCAGCGCTTGCCAGTGTAGAGGTCCTCGATAGTTCGGCCGGGGATGATGGTGGGCTGGCGGTTGTCGGTCGCCGGCGTTTGGATTAAGAGTTGGGACGAGCTCCAACATGCGTCGGTACTGTGCCATGAGC